GGGTTCTTGGGTTATGACCAGGGTCGGTCATCCCCCCAAAATGGGAGATGTAAAGGCGATTCCTCGTCTTTACAATCGTTCTGTTTTCATTACTGTGGTTTTGGACGCTAACTGCGCAAACACAGTTGAAGACTTCTTCAGGAGCAGTTACTTGCAGGTCATATTCAGTGCGATTGGCCAGGATGTAAACGAAGATTCCGCACAGTCCAGGAGCTGAATTCGCATTTTAGAAGAGAATATGGTGGGAGCACCAAAATGTAACAGAAAATATGCGCTCGAAGGCATGCTGAAGAGGCGCGAGTGTACAACGAGAAACTTTTTGCCGAATTGCTCTGATAGTTATATGAGAATATCGATAATTCACGAGCAAACGCAGGCATAGGTGCAGGTTATTTCCACCATTCGCAGAGTAAGAGAACAGGATCTGACGAGGATAGAGAAATTTGCAATTTCGAAGTTAAAGATTTTTAAATTTTTCGAAATAACACACCTTAATTTGTTGTATTTTACTTCAAATGGGCAAAAACGTACGTTAAGCAAAATGACGCGCGTATTCGTGTTTGTAAGTACTTATATGTGTGCGTCTGTGTGTCGCAATGATTCCTTTCCATTGCGGAAGCGAGGAAAGGTGAAATTTTGGAAGCATGTGTCTTCAAAATTATTTGAAGCCGCGGGGAAAATCTCTATTTCAAATCCGTTAAGTTTTTGGATTTGAAATGAGAATTAGTGCACCACATTTATGGTGAACTTAAGCGTACTGTGCACATTCATGTGCGTTCTAAACCTGACCGAAAGTGCCACAACATGAGAATCTGAGTGTGAGGTTATTATTTTATCAAAAAAACGCACAGAAACTTATTCATTGTTAGTTACTTATTTACTTTTATTGGTAGCGCAATGAACAAATGTGTGAAAATGCGACTGTTACACGAAAAAAAAAAACAGAACTTCATGTAGTTCTGAGAATCCAGACTACGAAGATCGCTCGAGCATTTAGTGCGGGTTCTTCATGTTGAAGGCTAATTCTCGTCCTTTCATTTCCAAACCTCATTGTCTATCATAAGCCCAAATCAATTTTTAGATTTATCGGTTGTATGGCTTCTAATCTTGGAAACGAATCCAGAATTCTCATGACTCAGCAACTAAAAAAAAGAATATTTTGTAATTCAATTTACCAAGCAGAATGGACTGAACAATCTGAAATTAAGTTCCATACTTTACTGTCCAAACCATTTTGCATCATCTAATAGTCCGCCTACAGAGCCTAAAGAGAGGGATCCATAAAGGAGTTAGAAAACAAATGTTTCAAAAAACAGACCCTATCGAATTCGAGCGAATAAACGCAGAAACAAAATAGTATGCCGTGTTTGTACGCGAAACCCAGGCACATTTCATTAATGATGCAAAAAGGCAAAAAAAGTAACGCTGCAGCCTGCTTGCACTTTTTTTGCAAAGTTAGGCAAGCTTGTGCTAGATGCATGTTGGCAAAGACATGCTCAGATCTGGATTAAGCATGCTTTCCGCTTAAAACGGTTTTGAGTCCCATTTGTTTTTGAGTTTCACTTGTGCGCAAACGGAAGTTTCAAGGTTTTCAAATCCAGTTGTTAATTTTTTTAAAGTACTGCCTTATTTCCTAGCTTACTTTAAAGCTTCTTGGTATCCGCATTCAACTGATAAAAATTTTCTGGTTAATAGCTGATCGACGAGTAAGAAATTGTCCATTATGCATGATTATTATTATGCGTTTTTGCATAATATGCAAATGCAAAAACACGTATTGTGACGACCCCG